TGAGCGTGTAGTATGTTTTATTTGCTACACGCAGGTTAATGAAGTGACGTGATCCTGGAGGCAGACGGAGGCGAGATTGTCGGAATGGATGTGATGGTTTTGAATTAAAGAACATAAATAAATTATGTTTGTGATTATGATTGTTAAGCTTCCGCAATATTGAAAACTCCGTACTGTTTATATTATGAAAAATATTATTGTGATAAATAAAAGTGTTTGAAATGTTTTAAATTTTTACGATTACCAAGTTAATACTTTAATATGAAAGGGGCTGCAGACCTGGACAGATTAGGGTGTTACAGACTCCATCGTTGCTTTATGTCAAATCATATTAAATAAATCGATTTACTAAATCCAAGTATTAAATGGGTAGATTAATTGTCCAATTATATATACTTCTTATACTCTTAACATTTCATATCTTTCATCCCAATTCGGAACATTTTCAGAAAATGCAGGGCCGTCTCTGAGAAATTAGGGGTCCTGGACGATACAGAAAAAAAGGTTATTGTGTCATAATCAAATAACATTTATGAATTAATTTATTTAACAATAAATAATATTAAAAGAATAAAAATAATAAAATGTGAAATTCATTGTCTTATAAATTTATAAGTGCATACTTTGATAGCCAACTAAGAATTTGTGAAGTTCTTGTAGCATTCTTGAGAGCATTATAGTAATAAAAATAGTAAAATGTCAAATTCATAACTTCAAATAATAATCAAATCCATACACAAAATTATATTAGTAATCTTAAATCAAATAAATTCTAAATACAATGCAATCTAATTTTTAATCCTCCGACGTTAGTGTTCATTTTTTAGACTTTATTAAATAAATAAATACATATACATATATTTTATATATAAATAAATGGGGCCCCCTCTAAAAATGGGCCCTGTACATAGGACCACCCTGCCCATGGGTATAGCCGGCTATGAGAAAATGTCTCGAAACATTCAAGGATTATGTGGAATGCGCTTGCCAAATGACAATAATTGAATTACTTAGATGCTTATGTTAGGAGTCATTCGTGTCTACTATGTTCTAGCTTGGGCAAGAGGAGGAGAATCAATGGAAGTGATCTTTCATGATGAACATGCATAATATTCATAATTTCTTTAATATTTGATTATATGTTACTATGTTAATTTAATTTTATCATTTTTCTTCATCAATGTTTCCCTAATTATATAATTTATAATTAGGCCGTGCAACGCACAGGTACGAATCTAGTGATATACCAAAATGACATAGAGATAGAGATGATTTGTTCTCGTAAAGGTATATAAGAATGAAAATCTTTACTTACTAATTTTTAATGTTCATATTCATTTTTAAGCTATCATAACCAATAAAAAAACATTATATCTATAGTTGAAATATTATTTAACTTACATATACCCATACATTATTAGAACTTTAAAATAAAGAAAACTATATTTTTAAATTTAAAATTTAATAGAATAAGAATGTTATGAATTTAAAATTATCTACAAGCCTCTTTGTAGCATGGAGTTAAATAAATTTCATATTTGTTTATGATATATTTAAATGAAGTTAGTTTTTATTCAATTACTTAAATATTCATGTAAAATTTTAAAATACAAATATTTTAAAACTATAATAAATTTTACAGAATAAGAGACAATTGAACTATAAAAGTGTTAAAATAAAAAAACAATACTAGACATAATTTGATAATTCAGTCGAGTATATTCATTTTATGGTTTGATTTAATTACTAGACAATTTATGTTTTATAGTTCTTAGATAATTCACGTTTTAATTTTAAAATTAATTATTTTTAATAATACTTTTTCCTAATGTTATACGGAGTACTTTTCTTATGAAATATAAATCTTCTTTTTATTCCTAATATTATACTTTTTCACTTCATTTATAATAATACTTTTAATAAAATTCATATTTTGTTATGTTATGACGAAATGATTAAAGTTAGTGTTTATTCTATTTATTTTAATATTGATGTAAAATAAAAAATATAATTTAATCTCTACATTAAAAGTCTATAAAACAAGAGGCAATCTGACTATTTTTAAAAATGATATAATATTTAATTAAATTAAATAAATTAGAAAAAGAATTTAACATGACTTTTTTACTTTAATTATATTGATATTTGACTTACAATTTTAATCAAATTAAGTGTGTACTATAATAATATTATTTTTTTTTGTAAGATGCAACTTAACATTATTAGATATGTAAAAATTGATTAAACCTAGATCATTTATATTTGATGCTTAAATGATTATGCTCAAAAAATAAACTCAAGTTATTTTAATAATCTATATATATTGTAGGATTGTAAACAATTTCATTCTATCCCGCGCATAACACAGGTTTAAATACTTGTTGAATGGTTAAATGATAATGTGAGTACACCAATTTGGACACTACCTCTACATCTACCACAAATTTGTTATTTACACACAAAAAATATGTAGTAAGAGAAGGGATTGTGTGCAAATTAAACCTAGGGGTACACCAAAATAAAGTATTTCAATGCAAATATAGACACTTATTTCGTAGTATTTATGATCATAGACACTAAATATCTGTGTTTGTGTAGGTACAAATGTAATACCCCATTTTCTAGCATGACTAACACTTTTGGTGGTTACACTTAAATCCAAACAAGCTCTTAACTCGATCCAAATTTCTAGTTAACAAGTGGGGCACATAAGTTATGACAACACATCAATAAAAGTGTCTTAACTGAGTAAGACAGTAATCCGTCAAGTTCTAGAAATTGGAAATCTCAAAGAAGGCTCTCAGAGAACCCCTAGCCCAGAACGGGCTCAACAATGGCGGCTCAAGATCACCCACAACTCTCTGAGAAGATCTTCTCTTCGTACATAGGCCTGAGCTTCACACTCTTTCTCGGGCACTTACCCACACAAGCCTTCTCTCTGGTGTCAAGTCTCCAGGCTCGCAACAAGGAGCTAACCCTCCGGCTGATCGAGACGGAGGAGCAGCTGAAGCAGGTCCTCTCTCGGAGAAAAGAGGACTCCAAAGCCAATGCCAGGGTTGTGGAGATCTTTGCGAGCCACCGGCACGCCTGGCAGAAGGAGGNAATGGCGGCTCAAGATCACCCACAACTCTTTGAGAAGATCCTCTCTTCGTACATAGGCCTGAGCTTCACACTCTTTCTCGGGCACTTACCCACACAAGCCTTCTCTCTGGTGTCAAGTCTCCAGGCTCGCAACAAGGAGCTAACCCTCCGGCTGATCGAGACGGAGGAGCAGCTGAAGCAGGTCCTCTCTCGGAGAAAAGAGGACTCCAAAGCCAATGCCAGGGTTGTGGAGATCTTTGCGAGCCACCGGCACGCCTGGCAGAAGGAGGAGAGGAAGCTATTGCTTCGGATCCAGGAGGGGGGCGAGGAGATCGAGAGGCTGAGGGGGAGAGTGCAGGAGCTGGAGAATTCCGAGGTTAAGTTGAAGGAGTGCTTGGAGGAGATGAATAAGGAGATGGGCGAGAGGGATGAGATGTTGAGCTTGATGGGTTCGACTGCTATTTCCTCTTGTGAGATTGAGGGTGGAATTGGGAGGGTTGGTGTTTCGGATTCGGAGAGAATGGATTTCGGGCTTGGGGCCGAAGAGTTCTTCTCGAGGAGTGCGAATAGTATGGAAGAAGTTCATAGTGCTTATGGGGGGCCAAAGCTATTCAGTTCTGCTTCCAACTTCTGGCCTGAAAGAGCTAGTCCTTGGCAGGTAAAATTCCCTGTCAAATTCATTCTGTGTATTTTTCATCTCTTTTTATTTGAAGGAAGTGCTTTTTTTAATGTGAATTTGAAGCTTGTTGTCGTCGAATGTCCTCTTGAGATCAGAGTTCTGCTGAGTTTGTGCTTTTAGGTCATCTCTTTCCATTTTTGAAGTTAGATATTGTTTCTCTAATGGATTAGGGGGTGTTGAGTGTCAATTCTTTCTAGTTTCAGGTTCAAGTCAGTTACATTGTTCCCCCGTTGAATTCGAATAAATTACGGAGTTGTGACCTGTGGGAATCTGAAAGGGATGAATTTTGGGAGGGGAAGTCCTAATGGATACATGTAGAGGTTGGGTTTATTGCCTAGAGCCATGTTTGACATTAGCTCTAGCGTTTTGAGAAATTACCCAAAATGCTAATTCTATTCATAAATGTTCATCCGAAACAAACCCTAAATCTATTTAGCAAATGCTGACGTTGTCGATGATATTGTAAATAGAGTAGTGCTTAAGGTAAATTTTGCCTTAAATTGTTAAAAGGGCTGAAAATGACAATTATACATTCATTTTTCATATTTTACTTTCTTTAGTTGATTAGGAAAATGTTAGTTGTTTATAAGATAATTCAGTAAGTTCATCTACCACCCTATCATATTTTTTCAGTATTGATTGACAGTTCCCGCTAAGTGAGCAAAATGATTAACTTCTTTTACACCATGTTTGGTTCAAGGAATTTGAAAGGGAAAAGAAAATAGAGTGAGATGGAAAACAATTTTTCATGATTGGTTAAAGAGGAAAAGAGCAGAAAAGTGGAAGGAAAAGAAAATGAGAACGCAAAATGTATTCAAAAGAGAGAAAACTGAATCTCTCCCATTTTGGTGAGGAAATGAAAGAAAATTGTTTTCTTTTCTTTTCCTTCTAAATTCCTTGAGCCAAACATAGTGTTAGTGGAACATGTTGTGAATCTGTTTGATAGTCATCACTCTTTGGTGGATCTATATTTGCCATACTATACGCGCCATGTTTTTAATTTCATGTTTCCTTGGTGTTATCTTTTTCCACTAGCTTCTCCTTAGAAGGAGTACGGTAGGCAAGCAAGACAACCAATCCATGGTTTAAACTATTAGTAGTTCGAGAGGTAGTAATCAGATTGTAGTAATGGAAGCATAAGGTGTCAATAGTACAAATAAGAGCTCTCACTGATTAAGACACTACTTGAAAAGCATTTCCTAATTCCTATTCCCTTGGTTATCTATCTGGTCCGATTTATTTGGTATTAAGGTGCTCTTGTTGTTCGTTTTTTAATTTATTTTTTTCGAATATAGTACCAAGTAGTTGGTCTAATATACCTTATACAGGATACATCTAACTTGTGTTACCCTAAACCCAATACGTTCTTTTTGCAGGATATGAAGTATGATACTCATGGATCATTGTATAATATAAAGCATTTTGTAGCAAGGTAAATTACACTGCTTGTTAACAAATTACAAAAAAAAAAGTTTGCATTGAAGCTCACCTAACTTTGAATTTGGAGCAAGCTGGAAAAATAACTCATTCATGTAAATTTTTTTAGCAAATTCAATTAACGCAAGGGTAACTGTGTTTCATTTGCAGAAGAGAGGTACCTTGGAAAGTAGATGGGGAATCAGCTGGAGTTTCATCAAAACTGAAACTCCTTGAACAGGAGTTGCTAATTCTGGAAAGGATTGGTAAGGCAGATTTATCAATGGTACCGTCATTGTTGCGGAAGCAAGCTAAGAGATATCAGTCACTCTCTGGAAAAATTGACGACCTCTGTAGAAGAATGGTATGGGTTATTATGTACTCAACTCTCACATCATTGATTTTCAAGGAACATTTTGTGTTCACGAATGAAACGATATATACTCGTTAGGGAATGAAAAACAGAACAAATTGTTCGTGTTCTTCTGTCTTGTAAATAGTTTTTATGCAACCCAAAAGCTTAATAATTTCACTGATTTCTTTTCCCACACCACAATAACTGTGTGCATGCTAGTAAAAACATGTTTCTGAAACAGCTGTTCTTTTTTTTTACAGCAGGCTAGTGATCCCGTGGACCCCACGCTGTCTTCCGAGTTTCGAACACAACGACAAACAGAGTATTTGCTTGAAGCGTTCAGGCTTCAGCAGCAAGCGTCCGAAGCCGGTCAGAAGCTGTTAGGGCTCCACGCGGAAATGGGGAAGGGTTGCTGCGGCGGGGATGGAACTGAAGACCAACCAAAACTAGCTACAAGGAGATCCTTCGACTCGATTCGGAACAACTTCAGGAATATTCAAAGAAATTTGGAAATATGGCTGGCAAGAATTATTGGGGATGTTGAGGGCATCTTAGCAAGAGATGGCACTTCATGTGTCCGGGACTATTACATGTCTAGGTACCCTTTTGTTCAAGAGTGACATGTTAATCTAACCTTATTTTAGAACCATTCATGTTGTCCCTTAGTTTTATAGCTTTCCTAGGTTTTGCCTTTGGTAAATTCTCTCTATAGCCTAAGTGCGTACTCATCTGGTAAATAAACAACTTCATTTAATCGATACCGTTTTGAAAATGGAGCATCATTCTCATTTCATCCTTTACACACACACACACACACACACACAACCTCCATGTTCTTTTTCTTATGGTATTAAAACAATTGTTTTTACAAATCCAGACATATGTGAACCCAAATAAATAAAAATAAAAAATAAAATAATATTGGGCTATTTTTTTACATTTATTTGTGATAAATAAAACAATACTGGCATTGAGAGTGGAGTAACAATAGGGGTGAAACTAATAATACACTACAAATAAATGGCAAAAAAAGGGGGGCATGAGAGGTTATACTGTTATAGGACATGGGTTTGGTCTCTCGAGAAGGCAACAAAGAAGCCTCCTCCTATCTCTTCACAAAGAAATTCACCGTTCTGTGAATGAGATTGCCAAAATTGTACAAGAAATTGTTGTCCAAATCTTTGCAAGTGAGCTTTGAAATGTATTAGAGAGGAATTAACCTCAAATTTAAATATAATTTTTTTAGAATTACCAAACATAGAATTGGAGTCAAATCTAAATTTGAAATCCAAATTTCCGTTCTCAAACATGCCTTAGAGGAATTTAGCCCAAAACCAATCCATATTTTTAAAGGTTTTCAAACATGAAATTTGACCTGAAGGCATGTTTGAAATCCAAATCCAAATCTGGAAACATATCATAAGAGAAATCAACCAGTACCTCTGGTACAGTTCTCCCCTTTGAATATCTCTATGCCAAAATTTCAAGCTTTAGGGTGTGTATTGTATAAGGAATTGTATTCATATTTTTAAAATTAATGACTTCTATTTATGTCAATGGACTTGTGTTGAAAGTCATAGACTTCTATTGATATTTTAAGTCATTGATTTTATATAAATAATTTCTATGGATTTTAACAAGTCTATGAACTTTTATTTGAATAATTTTATAGATTTCACTTCACCATCCAAGTATGTTCGTCCAGCATTATTTTTTGCACTCAAATAAGATTACTTTTAGTTTTCAATTAAATAAATATAATAGTTTTATATTAATAACAAAATAAATTTTATATTAATGGAATAAGTATATATATATATATATATATATATATATATATATATATTATTTTATATAAAATAAACTAAAATAATTTTTTTAAAATATTTTTTACAATATAATTCTAATTGTATTGTTTTTAATACTAATTGATAATGTAATTTTAATTTAATTGATGATCAAAATTCATCAAATTTGAATTTAAAAATAAAATTTGACCGAGCACACAGGGCAAAAGTAAGTATGCTAATAAAATAGATAGAAAACATTGCATTGTATAAAATTCATCATCTCAATCAAATGTTGCAACAAAAATGAAAACTAATCTAGTTGTAAAATAATTAAAGTAACGAATTAACTATTTTCACTATTAGATGTTGCCCACATATGATTTGCAAGATTTAATCTCCACTCGTTAGCTTTCTCTCGCTGTTAATCTTGTGTTATGGTATCATCCCATTATTCAAAACTCTCATCTGTTTCATTTGTTGTGTCTTCATCCGGAGCTGGAGGAAATTTATCTGAACGACACTCACGCCGTAGAAAATTGTGTAGTCCCACACATGCTAAAACAAACTCTGTTTGTGTCTTGTATGAATTGAAAATGGTGGTGCTGTTTTGAATATTGTGAATCGTGACTTGAATACTCCAAATATTCACTCAATTACATTTCTTAAGGAAGAATGTCGAAGATTGAACAACTCCCATGCGTTGGTAGGGTAATATCCTCCTCCACAAAAATCTTTAAGATGGTATCGAGTACCTCAAAACGGTGTTAAAAACTGACAACGATTTGGAAAACCACAATCCCCCAAGTAATATTTACCTATTCATGAAAATATTATTTAATCAAAATGCAATTATGTGTTGCATAAATTACAATAATAAGAGACTCAATTTAAGAAGAAAAAATCTATACCTGATGGCACTTTGAGCCCATTTGGTCTAGAAAGTGAATCATTTAAAATTTTTGAATCATGGGCAGAACCCTCCCATCTACTAAGCACGTAAACGAATTGCATATCAAAATTGCATACAGCTAAGACATTTTGAGATATAGTCCCATGACGATTTCGATAACTACTCACTTCACGCCCAACTACCATTGCTGGAATATGGGTCCCGTCTATTGCTCCAACGCAATCCTGAAAAAATGAATTACAAAAAAATGAATATTTATTGGTGTATAATTAAGATGGTCTAATGTCAGTGTTGATTTTCATAACTTACCTTAAAGTAAGGATAAAACCTTGTGCTCTCTCTGATGATGTATGGTACGGACTCTGGTTTAGCCATAAAATCTGGTGCTATTGTATTCAAAGCCTTCAACACTTTGTTGAAATTTTTACTAATAGAGAAGTGTGATCGTTGAAATATCATTTTAGATTCACTATAACGATTGTTTTGACCGACAACTAGCAAAAAGGTTGCAAGCATTTCTTCAACACAAATATACCTTGTGTCTCTTAAAGGTGTTTTCTCTTTTAGGATAAAAAATAATTTTCGAAACACATCTGGGTACATTCTGAATAGCATTCTAAACTTACGAGGGTCATCATCCAACATTTTGTGCATGTACTCGTATCCACTAGAAGTCACTGATCGACGAGTCAATGGACATCTTGCAGGTTCCCCACCAAGGTCCAAAAGGAGACTATGTATCACAGAAATAACTCCTTTTATTGCTAATAATAATATTTTAACTGCCTCATAAAATTCTACTTTATCTTCATCGGCTCCATACAAATCTATTTCAGACATAACTTAACAAGAAAAAAACAAATAAATAGGGTACGTCAATTCCTGATAGAATTTAGGATGGGGTATGGACAACTGGATTGGGCAATAAGACACTTGGGTTGAACCACATTAAAAGATTGAATCCAATCGATTAGTTAGTTCAACTCAAGAGCTTATATACCGGTTTATTTTCTCTTCAAGTTTCGATGTGGGATACTCTTTAACACTCCCCCTCAAGTGGACAACCGGGCCATTTTGAATCTAACCGGTTGACCACTTGCAAATGGACTCCCATACCCTTGATTTTTTTTAGCGCCAACACCTAAATGACCACGAGCCGCTGGGTATGGACTTCCAGACGAGCAATCGTGTTAAACAGGCCACAGGCCGTTGGGTACAACCTCCATACAGACAACTGGGCTAAAGACTAACGGGCTGCTAGGAATGAACGTCTAGACGGACACCTTGACAAACGAGGTGGGCTAAAACTGGCTTTGATACCATGATAGAATTTAGGATGGGGTATGGACAACTGGATTGGGCAATAACACACTTGGGTTGAACCACATTAAAAGATTGAATCCAATCGATTAGTTAGTTCAACTCAAGAGCTTATATACCGGTTTATTTTCTCTTCAAGTTTCGATGTGAGATACTCTTTAACAATTCCCATACATAATAAAATCATCAAAATATATGGTGTAATTCAAAACACACAAGTCTCAACTACTAATAAGAATTCGAACTATTTAAAAAAATGCCTAAAAGAGTATTTATTGCTAAAATAACTCTTAAGACTACTACATTTGTTTAGAGATGATCCAACTTAATCGTTGTTCAGGAGTCATCTTCAAGAAGAAATCTTGCTTTGCTTTAGTGTTAAGAAAATCAAGAGCCATAAAGCATTCATCATCGGTTAGTCCCAACGTCTCCTTCATGGCATCCAAAAGGTCACTCTCTCCATCTCTCTCTTCTCCATCAGGCCACAAATTTTATCAAAGCTCTTAACAATTCTTTCAAACCCACTTGACAAGTTCACTAGCACCTCATATTGAGTTTTACTAACCTTTTTTCCCTTTCTATTTTCAAAATCATCTCTGTTCCTTTTTCCTTGGACGTTGCTGTGTGATGAAGGTTGATCTTCTTTGGTTGAACTTTTTGTAGGTTCTGGTGACGCTAGATTATGGTGGCATGATGCAGAGAAAAATTTTACTTGTGGTTCTCCAAAATTTTGTTGCTTGTGGTCGCATATCCATCTTCTTGTGTAATATTGAAAAGAAACAATATAATGGTTCATAGAAGAAAATCACATGGCATCCGACAAAAATGACAAGATGAAATCTAACAAAAAAGTAAGCAATTAAGGACTGGATCTCAAAAGAATGAAAATCTTACTCGACGGCGCTGCGTTGCTCTGATTTCAAGCTGTCTGGTAGTGGAGGATGATGAGGCTTTGACGGCGGACCTAGGGCTCTTGCTTAAAAAAGTCTACAAAGAATACCTACTCCTGCGTAAAGAAAATAATGGAGAAAGAGTATTTATGGTCATATAGTAAAATATCTTCATATATGAATGATTTTATTAAATCCATGGGTTTAATATTATTTTGAATACCTCTAGATTTTTTTTTCAATTTTAAAAGTCCATTTTGAAACGGCTAGACTTTCTTTGAATTTATAATGACTTTTTAAAATCCTAATGGAATACACCCAGATTTTTATAGATTTTAAAAAGTTACAATTGAATACACCTAAACTTTCAAATTCCATTGATTTCTATTTAAATCAATAAGAATCCTTATACAATACACCCCCTTAGTTGTGTGTATTTTGCACATTTGGAACTTCACTTCAATGTTCTATTATTTTTTCTGTGATTTTTTCTGAGATTTTGCAAGTTCAATATTTTACTTTAATTAATAGAAATAATTGGTTACCAAAGTAACTTTTTTGTGTCATATAAATTAAGTTAAAATATGTCACTACTACAAAAACAAGTAAATAATGGTGTATCTATGTTATTATTGAGGGAAATGGATTTTAATTTTTTTATTTTTTTCTATGTTATTGTTCTTGTTCCATTGTTGTTGTAAGAGTTAGGTCCTGTTCCGTTCAACTTATTTTTTCTGCTTTTTTCTTATTCTTATTAAAATCAGATGAGATCAGATCAAACAAGAATGATTATTATTATTATTATTAGTATTATTATTATTATTATTCTTATTCTTAAAAATGAAAAAGAATAAACTTTAGAAACAAGTTAAATTGAAAACTGAGAAAGTAATCCTTAATTATTAGACGCCGAAAAAATTATTTTAAAAATACTTTGACAATGTCAATCTAATTCTACTTTTAAAATACATTTTTATTGCTACCTATAATTTGACTTTCTAAAGTTTTGATCATTTATTATATCGAGTTGATAAACTTTGATCATGACTTAAATAAAATTAACATTTGATATTCATATACAGAGTATATTTTAGTGTAACTGAAAAAACTATTATATCTATGATATTATATTAATAAAAAAAAGTTTCGTAGTACAAAGCACACGTTGATATTTTATAAGGATGAGATATTTTAATAAAAATATTATCTCTTCTCTATATTTATTATCTAAATTTAATTACTTTTTAATGTATATATAAATTAAATATTTATTCTAATGTATATATGAACTAATTATTAAAATATTAATTCAATATTGTTATTTCATAAAAAATAATCATAAAATAAAAAATACTATTACATTATAATATGAATGATTATTCTAATATATGAATTAAGTAATTTTATTTCATTAAATAATAATCATAAAATAAAAAATATTGATTATATTATAATATGGATTATCATTACAATTTTCAAACGTTATTATAAAGTCAAATCAAATTATTGATTTGAATTTTAAATCAAATCATAACTAATCAGATCAGGCCAGATCAAATCAGATTCGATCAAATCAAATCAGATCAGATTAGTTTTAATCCAATTAGATCAGATCAAATCAGACCGGATCCAATCAGATCAGATTAGAACTACAAAAAATCAGTTCAGAAACAATAAGTTGAACGGAATGGAGCCTTAGTGGTGTATCAATGTTGATGTTTTCGTATATTCGCTACTACAAAAAAATAAATCAACTAGCGTATTTACACTGGTTTCCTAAAATACCGATCTAAACGGGACATTTGATCTTTCCGCACCACTTCTTTTTGCATGGGTTGTTACTTATAACCGATGCAAATACCTATTGTAGTAACAACTGATGCAAAAGGCTTAGAGCTATTGCATCAATTATTAGTTTATTACTAATAATCCACACAATAAGTATTTGCATCGATTCTTAGTAACAATCCATATAAAAAGATTTATTAAAAAATTCAAACCAGGTCTAGTCGGTTTTTCTCACACTCTTTCGTTCTCCTCCACCATTCGTCGTTCTCTTCAGGGGTGGAGCCAAGTGGGAGCAAATGACTGCAATTGCAGTCACTCCCAGCTTGGTTTTTTAATACTATAAAATATTCCATTTCAAATAAGAAGAGCAAGAAAAGAAGAAGAACTCTATAATCATGTAACACTGCTCCATTTTAGTGTGATGGGCTTCCCTCGACCCTCTCTGACTAATTCTTGCTGGCATTTGTGAAGTATGCCTTTTATTTACGGAGTATTTATTTCTATTAATATACTCCCTCCGTCCCCAATTTGATTACAAATTGCGGGTTAAGGAGTAAAACTTTCTACTTTTTGAAATCATTTTATTTACAAATTGATATATTAATAAGATATAAAAATTATATATTAAAAAACTACGTCAAAAGTTTTACAAAACAAGAGGTGACAAGATTATTTTATTTTAAAAAATATTTAATGAAATCGCGTAAACAAACAAAAGTTATCGAGAAGAGAGAAAAAAATATTGTAATCTATTTAGGGACGGAGAGAGTATGTTATTGTACACCATATGTTCAACAGAATGCTTGTGAGATTTATATTTATTTAAATGTCTTCTGTCTCCGGTAATCGCTAGACATAGATATTTTCTCTATTTCGCACCCACTATTGTTGGATCCTGGCTCCGCCACTGGTTCTCTTCAGCCGTTTATTGCCTCGTCCTCAAGTTGTCGCCTATCTCCGTCACTGTCGTCTCCTCCCTTGTCTCTCGTACTAGCGTTGTCACGTCTCTCCTCCGCCTCCGTCATGTCCTTGGCATCTGATGCCATTGCCGGGGTTCCCTTCTCTGCCTCACACCACGCCGCCACTTCGTTTTGGTTGCCACACCGCCACTTATTCTGGCTTTGGCTGTGCTGCCCCTGCTTCATGCATGTCGCACTGCCTCGCACTGTTGCCGGTGCAGGTGGGCTTGGAAGCAGCCATCCTTTGAAGAAAGCGTAATAGCTCACTGGTCTGAACAAGTTCCTGCTGACCTAATACCCTTCGACTATTATCCTATTATCCGAATGAGTTGAACAACAGATTCGTTTCAAATAGTGAAACTCATCTAGAGGGGAGAGGGACAACCCGCCCATACAGCCAGCGGGGAGGATGGCACTACTGGCAAAGACCGTCTGGCGAAAACGCCGCAGGCGCGAAGAGACGTTTCTCGCTCGGCGCCTAAAGCGCACTATGCTCCGCTTCAACAAAC